AGACTGGCAAGTCCTGCATTGCACATAACCTTAAAGGACCTCCAGGGTCCATCTGGACTCAGAGAGTTGTTGCCAACTTGACAGCACCTGTTCACAGCAAAAAAACTCATCTGCTGTTAATTAGGTTCCTGCTTTCCACCGACTCTTCTGCGTGAGCGCCGTCTTCACTGTTGGGACTTGTAAAAGCGTGTCCAGGGTACTGAGTGCTCTTTAGATCCTGGATGAATGAAAGAGAAGGCAGATAGCTACTTTTACCAGAGAATTCTATTTAAAACTTGTGTCTTGTTGCTTCGAGCCCTCCAGTTTACCTGTCACTGAAAAACTGAGGGTTTCAGGCAAGAAATGTGGCAGCTACTGTGTCTGTAGCATGGGACATAAACGTGTTCTACTTCTGTAGCAGGAAAAGGAGAAAGTGAGATGCAACTCCCTGGACTGGGATTTAGCCAGGAGAGCAGCATGAAATGCTATCTCCTAGAATCAGTAACAGTCTGGCATGGCCAGCTCTTGAAAAACAGCATTTCTGTAAGTGCAGCAACCCATATTATCAACCTGGGGTCATATGGGTAACACAGATGTTTTCACAAAGCTACTGTTTGGTAGGATGAGAAACATTTTATTTTTTCCCTTCAATTATAGAGAAGTATTAGTGCTACTGATCTCATGAGATCAAATAAGATCATGTCTTGGTTATGCTGTGACCTCATTGCTGATCCACTTAAATACTTTCAGGCTCAGAAAGGGCAAAGGAAATACTGAATATCATGTCCAGGAGGGCCAGGAGCATCAAAGGAGGAGAAAAAAATTGGTCTCCAAGCTGGAAAGTGCCCCCCGCACTGACTTGACCAGGGGAGGAGAAGATCCAGTGCCATGGCAGCAAACTGCAGCCCTGCTCTCTAACAAAGTAGTTTTTAAGGTTTATAGGAAGGCAGTGGAAGAGATGCAGCTTTCCTGTGTGCAGAGGGTCCTGGGGTTGCTGCAGATGCTGCAGTCATGCCTCACAGCCTTAGAAGACAGAAAGCGACTCAGCTGTGCACAGGCACTCCTGGGTCTTTGGAAGCAGGAAGGGAAGGGGCTGGACAGTCTTCGACTCCCTGTAGAGTTGAAGAAGAGGCTGAAAGCAGAGATCACCCAGGGAGCGGTGAGCAACTCAAGCCTGGAAGAAATCCAGGTGGCCTTATTTTCACATGTTGCTCCGGCTTTTGAGCAATTCTGGGCTGAGGTGAGCAAGGGGCTGAGCAGGCATGGTGTGCAGCCCTCCCAGATCCAGGGAGATGGCTGGTCCAGCCTTGAGCCCCTCCTGCACACACTGGCTTCCAAAGTGGCCCTCAAACACCTCAAGAAGAGGGAAGCTGCTGTGGCTCAGCCCAACTTAGATGACAAAGACACTCTCAGACACTCCCTCCAGGATGCTGCCAAGGGCTGGCCAACCCTGGAAATGCTCCATTTCCTCAACCACCTGCAGATGCACGGACCTGCTATGCTGGAGGATGGTCTGCGGTTCCAGTTAGAGGTGCAGAAGTTCAAGAACGCGTACCACACTGGTTCCAACAGGGCCTTCCTAAGGAGGAAGGTTCGAGTGATCCGGGACTGCTTCCTCCTGTCCCAGATGGAGTCCAAGCTGCAGGTAAGACTTGAGCAAGGATGGAGGGAGTGACATGGAATGGGGCTTGCTGGAGAGACCTTTAACGATCAAGCTAAGGGTGGAAGAGAGACGTACAGAAAAGGTCTTGCTTTGCTCTCTGAGGGCAGCAGTTAGTAGGGCAGGGGAAGAGAGCTGTTTCTCGCTGGATGAGACACTGCAGGCAGCGAACAACAGTAAGTAGAATCCCCTGCTTGTTGGCTTAGTTTAGGGTAGATTCTTGAGCTGTTGCACCTTCACTTTTAGGAAACCCAAGGAGCTGCTAATGCAGCATTGGAGGTCAGTTTGGCCTGGAGACAGCTGGGCTGCTCAGGACCAACCTCATCCCCCAAGGCATCTGGAGGTGGCCAAGCGACTCTCCCCAGCCTGAGCACATCTTCTGGCTGATCCTGCAGGTGGCCGTGGGTGTGGAGAAGCTGGAGAGGGCTGTGCGGGCGACAGAGCGCTCTCTGCTCAAGGATGGGCCCCTGCCGCCGCCAGGGCTCTTTGATGAGCTGTGGGACTCCATCCTCAGCAGCCTCCTGCCATACTGGGCTGCCTTCCGGAAAGCCTGGCTGCAGAGATCACCCGAGAGTGCCCACACTGCCCCGGGTAGGAATGTCATTATGGACACCCCTACTCTGCTTCAGGAGCCCTTTAGCCCCTGCTAGGTGACGTGCATACAGTAGGTGGTGGTGGGCCTATCTTCACTTACAGCTATCATGTAACCAACACTTTTGGTATCTCAAATTGCCTGGAATTGGCTGCAGGATCCTTCAGTCTTCCCTGAATGCCTCTGCTTAGGGGAGGTGAGGGCAGGTGGGGGGTAGTATTTCTCCCCATAGGGCTGAGTCTGTCACTTTCAGAGTGGGAAGCACACTCTGAGTGAGGAGAACTGGTGTGCTCACAAGGGGCAAGGGAAAGCGAACAGCCAGGTCCGTGTTGCCCACTTATTCAACGAGTCTCCTCCCACAGTGCTGCGGGTCCAGGAACTCCTGCAGCGGAGACGAGACTCCTTCGAAAGGCCCCCAAAGCCTCTGCCACTGGTTCAGTTGCCTCAGGTGAAGCAGTCCTTGGCCGTCCAGAGTAACACTGGGGGCTTGACTTACACCTTTTCCATCAGTAAAGGCATTACTGTGAAGGTCAGTACATGGACCCCTTCAGATAAAGGGGCTGGAAAGAAGTTTACAAGGGGCTTTTAAGCTAAGAAACAGGCCAAAGGGAGTTAATTCTCTAAGAGTGCTGCTGGCAAGCTCAGGATCTGCTTTTAGAGCATGATGCAGGAGCAGCTCAACCCAACATTTGTCTCCTCCTCCTCACGCCTACTCTCCAATATTGAAAGGAGACAGAATCTCAGTAGCAGCTATTAATATAGCACACAAAAGCACTTTGGGAAAAAAGCACTAAGATAGAGCATCCCTTCCCCTGCCCGCATCCAGTACCACTATGACTGGGGCGAAACCCAACAGCCATTTAACACTGGGCACTAACAGTGCTTTTGAACAACATAATGAAATGTCCCACTCAGCTCTGTCTTGCTACTCGTGCCCCATCTCCAACAGCCCCACGGCCTTGTCACAAGATTCTCTAAGTCCTTGTCTGAATGTTCCCATTCTCTCCGCTTTACACAGGTTCCCAGCAGAGATGTTACAAGCACCTCTGTATCCAGAAATGGAAAGAGGTCACTGACACCACGGCTCCCTCCTCTTCCCACAGTGCCGGTGCTCTTTTGAAGAGGACAGCAAGTGCTCTGTATCCCAGCACTCTTTAATGCTAGCAAGGGGAAAGGCAATGAGATGGTGGTTGCAGGAGTGGAAAAGCTCCGAGAAAGCACTGAGCTGCTCTAGCACAGCGTAAGGAAACAGGCTGACAGGCAGTCTGTGATGACACCAACCTGCACTACTAGAAATGATGTAATGGCCTGAGCTGCCTCAGCAAGGACCAATACCAAGGCACCCCCATGCACAGTCCCCTTCGCAATCAGCTGTTTTAACCTCCCTGGCTAGGAGGTATTACTGAACCAGACAGCTTGAGGCAACTATCTGCATCCTTGCTGCAGTTGTAGAAGCTGTCAATGCTTTAGGGAAGCACAGGCAGATAATTGGGAACGCTGCTAGACTCCGAAGGCTCGCTCCATTCCTTCTGCTCTCAAGTCTTTCTGTTAACATCAGACACAAGGGCAAGATCCTGCCTTCTTCAGAACCAACTTCCTGGTCTTCCAGGGTGATCAGTTTTGTATGCATATGTTACAATTTACTGTATATACATATATATGTGTATCTACTGTGTGTATATATATATATATAATATATGTGTATATTCACTATGATTTAGTTGCTTGCATACCTTAGCTGTTAAGTTAGGCTAACACCCGAAAGGCCTCTCTCAACCTCATCTACACACTGATGGCACCAATACCACATCTCTCTGTAGCCAAGAGGTGGAGCATAGTGGGAATCCCTGCAGGAGTCAGTGACTGGCAGTGTGTGTGGTAGCAGCCCAGCATGTCAAACTACACAGCAACCAAATTCCCACAGAGGCTGGGCAGGCGTATTCCATCTTGTCAACAATGTCTAGCTGCTTCCTGGGCAGTAGTTTCTCAAGGCTCAAGACTAATAAGGGAATAGCTCTAATAGATATAAGGAGCCCTTAAGATCAAGGAGTTGAGTCCTGCCCCCATGTCCAACCCATGTGTCTGACCTGTGCCTGCAGCAGCCTCCTGCCAGCAAGCCCTCTGCATGGGCTCTCCACGTCATTTGTGGTGTAAGTCCTTTATTAAACCTATCCTGTTTAATCCCTTATGAGCCTTGGGTGTCTCTCTACCCTGGTATCCGAGTCTCTCTTGTCCACCTTTCAGTCATACAAGCGTATGGCAAGAAAACAAAGCCTTTTTTTAATCAGAGACTAGTCCTGAGCTGTGTTGCAGGATGGGACACCTTAGACAAGAATGGATGCTGTCTGATGGGCTACACCAAGAGAGCTCCTCTGCCAAAACAGAGCAGAGAGAAAGATGCAGCAAACAAGAAACATCAGGGAATTGACCACTCTCTACCCTTTAATAGCTTTGGGACAGCACTGGTCCACCTCTCAATGTCCTCATGGATCCTCCTGGTGCTTCTCTTATGCCATAAGCCCTACTCTTTCAGAAGAAGTAGGATCTGCTCCAGCGGCTGGTGCTTTCCAAGGCTCAGTTCCAGCACATGTTAAGAACAGGCAACATCATTTAGTCCTAATACCTGCTGGACACAAAATAAGTGCCTCAATGCAGTGGTGTAACAACTTTCAGTAGGGGAGCTGCTAAACCTTCCCACTCACTGGAGTACAATGCATCTCTGTATCAAGTGTTCAGGTAGCTGGCAACTTGCTGCACACAGCCATCTTGTCATAGAACATCACACTTATTTCCAAGTTTACTCTGAGCAAACTCCATTGCAGTGGTCAGGGCTCTCTGCATGCCTTTGGCGTTTCCACTGCCCTTAGCGACGACACAAGAGCCTCCTGCCTTGCCTTCCATCTGCGTGCAGACGGCTGCGGCCCAGTCAGCAGCGGAGAATATGGGGAGGCAATTCTGTGGAGAAACACAGAGCAAAGTTATTTGCGCTATGGTCACTCTGCAGGCAGAACTGCTTTCTCTTCTCACTCAACCTAGGCCTCTGCTGCGTGAGGCAGCCAGGATTGGTAGGAGCTTACATATTAATGCTGTGTCCTGCCATTGGGCAAACACATCCTGAAGGATCCAGGGGTACCTGTGCCCAGCAGAGACTGCAAGCTTATCTGCTTCCAATACGGTCATCTCGAGTCCTAACTCTACACGATTAACCAGCAACACTTGGAAGAATCATGGGAAAAACCCCAATTGGGAGCTTTCTTTCCAAGAAAGGGAAGTGGGCCTGGTCCCCCTTTGTAGGCAGGTTCCCCATGTCTCTGCCAGGGCTCACCTTGGACACCTGACATGCACAGAGCACCTCACCAGAAGCCTGAGGGCTGAGCAGCAAGACTGATGTGCCAGGAGACTTGCCACAGAGCTGGTTCACTACCTTCATTAGGATCTAGGAGAGACATGGATAGGAAGGGTCAGTCAGATCCATGTGTGCAGCAGAAAACATGCCCAGCAGCTCATTTTTACTATACAGAGTACCTGAAAGTACTGCTGGGCCAAAAAGTTACTCACAGAGGCAGAGTCAGCTGGGACAGTATCAATGATGAGAGGTTGGTTGCAATGTTTGGCCAGCAGACTGTGTGCCTTCTCTGCTGCCTGGAGGAAGAAACACAGCACTTGAGGGACTACACATGGCATAGGGTAGGCTAGATGGGGATATACACATGCAACATAACATGCACAGCAGCGGTCCTTGGCCTCTCTCCTGTGCCTATACATTGCCATATATCTAAAACAGAGTTCTGAGGCATGAAGTGTTTACTTTAAGGAAAAGCTAGTTGCTACCGAGATCACTAAATCACCAATAAGCACTCTCAAAAGGATTTAAATGTAATCATGTCAATTGGAAAGATGCAGAAGTGTACCGAAAGACAGTGATATCTACAGAGTTGGGAGACAGTCTCTGTCCTGCAGACCTGTCTTACTGCACGACCTTGTAAAGACCATTTTCTCAGGATTGTACTTGATTTTCTCCATTTATAAACAGGGAAGTGATGCTTATCTGCCTGTCTGCCAAACATGCTGACAGGGCTCTTCATCGTCACAGCAGAGAGACAGGGGGATTCTGCAGGTTTTGAAAGGCCAATCAGTCATTCATTGCACTTGAAACAGCAGTCTGAATTAAGGCCACTTAAATCAACCCAGCCCAGGGCCTGTATTACACTGTGTGCGATCACAGCTGATTTCCCCAGCTTTCCAATGGCATCGTAGTGACTGAGTTGCTGTGAAGTGTGACAGAGACACCAGGTTCCCTGGGGTAAAGCACACACTTAGCAGACTGCAGCGAGTGTGCTGCTGCCACAATACCTGCTGTATCTCCAGTTTCTTGATGGCCGTGTTGGCTGTTCGCTGAAGTGCTTTCAGAGTGGTCTGCAGTTCTTTTCTTTGCCACTGGGGCATTGCAGTGTTAGCCACCACCTGAAAGACAATCTGCTGTGTAAGGACACTAAACCGTACCTAGAAATAAACTGCTAGTTCTCTGGGTGGTCCGACTGGAGCTTGACTTCTTCCCAGACATTCCTTAGCTTGACATGATCCGGCTAGCCAGCCACTGCTGCATGCGGCATTCTCTTTTCAGCTCGGCATATAAAGATGGAGAAAAAAATGGGAATCTTCTTAACTGTTACCCTCCCAGTCATTGCTTCCTCCCATGTCCCTCTGGCAGTAGGATATCTGTAGCAGAGGCACCTAGATTGAACCTAGGTTGAAATCTTTCTGGCCAAAAGGACACTGTCAGATAGTAACTTCCTCTTGCTAGTGACCACAGTAAGAGGTGAACTTAATAGGGAAGAAGGGATGTGGTTCAGTGGAAGGAGCCTATGATGGGATCTTCCTGCACAGGAACACAATCCTTACTTGGGTTAACTGGCCTACTTCTTTGGAGAGGTGCTGCACGTCAGGAATAGAGGTGCTCCCCTGCTTCATTCTTATGGAGACAGAGTCCACTTCCATAGCCAAGCACTGGCCTACTTCCCGGGCCTGGAGAGAGTGAGAAACAGAACATTTCAAAGGAGCAGAAAGAATGAGCAGAGACGGAGGAAGTGGAGAAACTGCAGGGTCAAAACCATTCAAGCACTACTCACTATCCAGCAGGAAAATACCTAGAAACAGAGGCTTTAAGAATGACTGTCCCCAAGAGAAGCCAGCATAAAAAATTATTTTCTAGGTTTGTAACCATTGCCAGATAGTCACACACCATGGGCCCATGTGCCTGGCAGTTACATCTACTCGGTATCTCTCTCACACCAAATCATCAGTAATTCAATGAAAAAAACAAACAAAAAACAAACAAAAAAAACCCACAGGAGATCCATTTATTCATTAGAGCTCTATTTCATTAGCAAATGCATTCTTGAAACTAAAGAAAAATTGTTCTCCCCAACAAAAATGCTACCATTAATAAAAAAGTAAATGCATTATTTCCTCCAGGATAGCCCTTATGCTTTGGAGCATTTCCTTCCTGACGGACCTCTCTGCCCATGATGGTCCTGGGAGATTTTATATCAAGAGAACAGAGATGTGAAAGAAAAGTTGTGGAAAATGGAGAACACAAATGTGCAGGAGAAAGCCAGCTGGGAGGCAACATATTTGCTGGGGTGCGCCAAGGCCCCCAGTTCCACTGTGCAGTGGGTCACACTCCTCCCACTGCAGCCCCAAAGGAGGCAGGCAAGGCTGCGCATCCAAAAACGCTTCCAGACATTCAAGGATAGAGCTTGCTTATTCTTTGTACAGATAAGAGCCAGACCAGGATCATAGCAGGAGAAAAAGACTAAAGGAAGAAGCAAGAGGGCTGTAAAAATGAGGCCACAATCCTGTCAGAATAAAAGGCCAATCCAACTGTGATAAGCAGAAGGTGAAGCCAAGGCACAAAGGTCCATGTCTTTAAACACCTATCTGGGACTGCAATTTATAGCCCAGAGGCTTCCTGATATGTTTTGTTAAGTCTCCATCTTAGAAATGGGGGTCTGAAGAGAAGAAAGAAGGGCGAGGAGCCTGAACTCCATGGCAGTGGTGACTGTAGCCAAGTAACAAGGTACAACTTATATAAGATATATACACATATACATATATAGCATATAAATCCATTAACAAATGCCTTAAGGAAGGGTATCAAGAGGATGGGCCCAGGCTATTTTCAGTGGTGACCAACAAGAGTCCTTTTTTTCTCACCTGTTTGGCTTGTCCCCCTGTCACTGCAATGACACGGCTAATCCCTTTAGCCAGCTGACGCTCACTGATAATGGCCAGATCCTCCATAACTCCTGTTCGTAGCAGATGCCTGCAAAGTGGGCAGAGAAGAGGAAAGGAAACAACCTTCTCTGTGAAAATCAGCTTTGCTTTTAGATGTGTCCCAGGTTCAGCACCTCTTCCCCAATCACAATAGCTTCAATTCCTTCCTGCCCCTATAATCCTGAGGGAACTTTGTCAGGCAAGAGACAGTAGAGTTGAGGCTAGTCGAGAGAAGCTGTGCTACCTGCCCAACGGGCCCTGCCAAGCAGCACAAACAGCTAAGTTACGCTTTGCATCCCTTTCCTTCCCAGTGAGATGGACTGGGATTTATCCCTTCTACTCAGCTGCTGCTGCTAAAAGTTGTAGAAAGTCATTTTTCCTCCAACTCTATCCCTCCTTTGTCAGGCCAGCTCACAGACTGGCCAAAGGAACCTAGTCACAGGTGGAAGACATGACTGACAACTTTCCCTCTTGGTTATCTAACATTAAATATGCAAAACACTACAGTGTCCTCTGTTACCACAAGTAGAGACTGCAGACAGCTTCACTAAAATTGATCATCTCCATTCCAATGCAGTTCCTCGTTCCACTACTCCCACAAGAAAACTGCACTCACGATTAGAAACTTGCTCATTTCCAGCTACATCTGCTCTGAGGCCAATTTGTTCCTATTTTTTTCCTTGTGCCAGCACTGTCTTAAGATTGAGTCACTCTTCTACTCTCATTAGTACTAAAAGCAGAGAAGAGCTAAGATCATTAAACAAAATAATCAGTTAAACTAGCTTCAAGTTCTCATATCAACTGTTCCACAACATCCTGCTGGGTCCCTAGGCCTCCTGCAATTGCACAATGAAGACCTTGTAACTCCATTTGGTGACAGTGAATACATCCCTTTCACACTCTGCTGGAGTCCTCTGGCTCCAGGTAGATGTGAGGTGTGCTCCTTCCCCTGCCCACCCCTCTCAAGGTCAAGACATTCTTTACCTGCAACAGATCCCTAGTAAATTACTGGTAGCACAACGATACTTTGCAAATTTTGCTGAGTTACATCTCAGATTGATTGCACACCTTGTCCTTTAGACATAAACTGTCCACCAAGTCTAGGACTAAGATTGGATCCAGCCACATCCAGACTCCTCTGAGGAGTTTAGAAAGCAAGGGGATCCATTCTGAACCTTATGACCTTATGTCTCCTTGATGTTTTTGTCCAACTCTTTCCTCCACGCATTAAATAATTGAGTATACCTTGTCATCAAATGTTACATCACTGTCCTATTTACCATTGATCACTTTTAAATCACTGCCTTATCTCAATAAAAACATATCGCTGTGTCTCTTTTATGAGTGAAATACATCACTCATTTGTGACAGTAGGTTTCAGACAATGAAGCAAGAAACAATGCTTCACATTTCTCTCTTGCTTTTTCATCCTGGAATTTCCAGAGCCTCACAAACATGCTACGCTATCACCACTAAATCTTTCAGGTGAAGAAGCCAAGTGGCACAGAAATAGGGACGTGGACCTTGGAATAAGGTCTCTGCCTCAGCCATCAGTGCTCAGTCTTCTTCCTCAGCTTCCAGACAGGTCTTGCGGGGCATACAGAAATCCTCGTGCAAGTCTGGACTTGGATCAGGGTGGGAGGCAACTCTGGAGAATCACAAGGATGTAGCCACCCACAAACGCACCATTCTGAATATAAGCAGAGAAAGCCACTTACGTCCCACAGCAGAGCTCCACAGAGGTGTGCATTGCAGCCTCGGAGTTGTGGATCAGCACACTCTCCACGGGAACGCCCAAGGACACTATCCTTACTGGATCTGGATACTCCTGACAGAGAAGACAGGGATCAGCAGTAAACAACAAGTTCTTCAGAGGCACTTAAAGACTAACCCAATGGTTTCAGGTCCCTGCCCCACTCTCCCCACGAGACGAGGCAGCACCACTTCTTCCCCCACAAACAACCACTGAGGGGAGAAAGAAGCAACCAAGTGACACTACAAGCTCTTGATCCAGAGAAATGAGCAGAAATCCCGCATATCATTAGCACCCACATATTACAACAGTGCTCCTGAAAACCTCATCTCCCCCTTGAGCTTTAGCAGTCAATTCCCTTGCAGAAACTGGTTGCTTCAGCACCTCATAGGATGTAGCTGACTCCTGCTGAGGGAGAAGGCTCAAAAAGACACATCCTGCCCTCCTGTCATACCTCATCCACACTACGAAGGCCCTGAACTCTTCTGGCCAGTGCGAGAGGGACCTCAGCCATGTGCACGACCTCATTTCGATTAATCACCTCCTGGACCACCCGCTCCACTTGCTGCAGCTGCTCAATGGTCACGGGGTCCTGTGGAAGGAAAGTGGCTTTCTTCAAGAGAAGTCTCCAGAGAGGCACAGAACCAAGAAGTGAGAACTAGGGCTATAGGCTCCAGGCAACTCTTCCTGGACAAACCACTTAACCCTTCATGTCTCATCTTCCCTACCTGTAGAAGGAAATTGAGAGCATCATGGCCCTCCCACTCCTCCCCTGCAATAAGGATTATTAACTCAAGAGTTATCAACCAAATTCTTAGGGATAGATGCTGCCAGAAGTGACAGGTTAGTAGGGTCAGTACTCAGGCTGTCCTGACAGCTTTCATTACCCAGGCTCTCCCATTTGGATGACCAGCAGAAATATCAGGAACACCCCAGTATGTGCCATATTTAAACTCGGAGTCTCTTGGAGATCTCCTCTGCACTAGCCAGGTCAGCTCCACATTCACTACCCCACTAATTCCCTTCCTCTCTGTCCCGTCTTTCCCCACAGTAGGCCCTCCTCAGAGCTAGGTCAGCACAAAGCTGAACCCATCACCTCTAGAGGACCAAACTTCATTTCTCAGACACAAACGGACTTGTCTCAAAAGGAGTAAGCACAGCAAGTGGAGAAAAATCCCTGAGAGGATGGCCAGTTCCAAGATGCTGGTTCCGCCAAGGCCCACCAGAAGTCCAGGATCACCTTGGTATTGAAGTCGAAGCGCAGCCGCTCCGCTGTCACATGGGACCCCCGTTGTTCTGTGTTGTCTCCCAGCACGTGGCGGAGAGCAAAATTCAGCAGATGAGCAGCAGTGTGGTTGGTCATGCAGGCCAGTCGCTGGGCCTGAAAGCACAGGCAGGTTGGCAGTGAGTGCTGGAAGGTCTCCACAGCTGGGGAAGCAGGGAATGGGTTGGAGGTGTAAGGGAAAGGGTGCATGTGAGGGGATGGGAGGAGACAAGGAAGAATAGGCAGCACAGCTAGTAGACAGATCTGCCCTGTGACACAAGTTCATCTAGCTTCTTTCTTCATGGGAACAGCTCTGCAAAACAGCAAAGAACAGGCCAGGTACCTTGCAACAGATCCAAGACCCCTAGAAGATTACACACAGGGACACTTGTGAGCTCTCTCTCCCTCACATGTCAATGAAGGGCAGTATCAGGAGCACACGGGACAAAGCACTGCTGTGTCTAGGTTACTCAGGACACCATAAGACTCTCAAAGCAAGGCTGGAAAAGGGTTAAGAGCAAATGAGCGTCACCTCATCCACAAAGAGCTGCACTTGGTCCCCAGCACGCAGCATTTCCACAGCAGTGACCTCATGGACCACGTAACCGCCACAGAGATGAACTGACTTTACAGGGAAGAGCATGTCCTGGACAAAGAGACAAAGAAGGGCAAATCAGGACACAGGAAGCATCCAAAGAGCAGTACCAGTGCCTGCATTAGCCCACTGGGAAACACAGCCCCTGGTGGTCCCAAGGAGCCAGGGATAGGGTGGGAAAAGCAATGATAAGCTTCTTGTCATTGCAACCAGAGTGCTTCAGCCATTGCTAGCGTCTGATCACTGCACACCCTGTCAAGGCTGCCAGCTTTCAGTGCAGGGACAGCAAGATCAACTATGACAAAGAATTTGCTGGACATCTGGACTTGTCCCTGTACTGTCAACGCACCTCTTGTGGGTATCCAAGGAATCACTGCATTGGGCTGGCAAGACCAACTCGCTGCCCCCTTCAGCCTGGGAGAAGTTCTGAGAAAGGCTAAAAAGGCAGCATCAACACCCCGAGGTGATTCTCGAGAGAGTGTGGGAGGGAGCTGAAACTGCATCCCATGCAACTTTCCAGAGAATGGTCAAAGTTCTCCCACTGGCAGGGTAGATGAAACATGCTGCAGGGCTGGGAATCCTTTCTAATGCTTTGGGGAGGAATAAGAACTTTTATACTATGTCTCAGCTTGGGCATCTCTTGTAGTTCTCCAGGACTTGCCAGAAACAAGTTATTTATCTGGCGGACTTTCTGATCACTGCATTATCTCCTGGCTGGAAAGAGGGAACATATTGAAGGGAGAGCCAAGAAGACTGTTTCAAGTCTTCTCCAGTAAGAAGAAATTGCAAAGGGCTGTAAGAGACAACCAGAGCAGCAGCAGATCCACCTCAGAGGTGTCACTGCTTTCACTTGCCCCTCCTGCCGCAAGCCTGAGGCAAAGGTGAAGGAATTTCCAGGACACTGCAGCTTGAAAATTAACACACTAAAATAATTTATCATTTGGGAAAGTTTACATGGTCCCAGCAACCATGACTACCTTGGATCTAGTCGTCAAGGGGCCTCACCTGCTGTCCCAAGAGCATCAGGTAGCCCCGGTCAGAGGCTTGCCCTCCCTGCTCTGCATAGAAGTTAGTCCGATCCAGGATGACACCACAGTGTTGGCCTGCCCCAACCTCCTTCTGGAGGGACTGATTTCTGTAGAGCATCAGGACGGTGGCCTGGCATGGGCTGAACTCTGCCAGGGGCAAGAAGATACCAGCAATTAGCATGCACATCTCGTTAGCTCACAACAAAAAGGAAGGCAACACTTCCATGTGCCAACCCTGGCAATATCCAGTCTGCACCAAAAGCCAGCACTTTCCTTTGCCTTGGTAGGATAGGCCTATCGATCAGCAGAAAGGACAAAGGATCTCCTATTTGGAATCAAGTCCCAAAATAGCACAGTAATCTCTTGCTTAGCCAGGGACAGACCTGCTGGGTAGTGGTTAACCTGGCTGCCAAATCAGGGACACCCCATCTGGCTGGAGACAAGTCTGCTCGAGAAAGATGCAGCACAGACACATCTGCACGGTGCTACATTGCAACCACCCTGATTCCCTCTATGATGAGACACTGGCTTGCTGCACAGCGAAAATGAGTCACTTTCCTTGACTTAGCAAGGTTTTGACACCCCCTCCTCTAGTATCCTTGTAGTCAAACTTGGGAAATGCGAACTGGGCAGCTGGATTGCTCCTAAGGCAGCTGAATCATCTGTCTGAAAGACTGGAAGCACTCAAAGGTTGAAAGTTCAACTGATATTCAGTTACCAACACTGACACTACTGTTCAGCCTGAAGAAGGGAAAGCAAAGGGAAGATCTTAGTAATGTTAATGGGAGAATATAGAGACACCGGATCCAGGCTCTCTCAGAGATGCACAGCAAGAGAATGATGGGCAGTAAAGCAAAATCCCCACACAGGAAATTATGCTTGGACAAAAGCAAAAATTTTTTCACAGTAAGAGTGATAATGCACTGGAACAGGTCCCAGAGAGGCTGTGGTACCTCCACCCTTGGAAAAGCAGAACACTTAACTGGACAAAGCCCTGAGCAATCTGATCTAACTGGGATGCTGATATTTGTGCAGATCTTACATTGATCTCTTACACAAGAGATCAAATATCCAGAGATCCCTTCCAACATGAATCATTCTCTGATGCAATGACTGAGCAGGTGAAACAGCGCTAGCTTGCAGATTTCAGCCAATGTCACGGCTGGACTGTTTTTCATTGTGCTCTTGCTGTAATATACAGAGTTTGAGCTACCTCGCTTTTTGCCTAATGTGGGTTGCCACCAGCACACTGGGTAAGGAAGAGCTGGCTGTACACAGCTATCTCTAATTGCTTGTGACAGCCACATCACCTCTTACTCTCTGTGGTTTAACTTTATACTTTCCCTGGAGCATCAATAGCCCATTATCCTAAATGATAAAAAAAAAAAAACTGCACTGGCATCTACTGGCCTACCAGAGAAACAGCAAGTGCAAGGCCTTAGACAAACCCTCTTGAGCCTCCTTCACTCTCCCTTGCATTCACACTCCTGATTGTAAGGGACAGGCTGGGTGCTCATCTTCAGCACTATTCAGCATTGCACAGTGACACTCACTCCAAGCTCACAGCCTCAGCACCACCCACGTCCTTCCTGGGGCACACCACCCGCAGGAAGATCAGCACCTACCTCGAGATCAGAGCAGAGCAGAGCAAAGATGCAGCAGCAAAGCGAACAGGTCTGAACCCCAGGGTGTGTGGCCTCCTGCATGGCTGGCACCAGCCACTTACCATATTGCCCACGCTGCCCAAGCGTGTAGGCGTATTTTGGCGAGTCGTCAGTGACAGGCACGTTGTTGCTTTGCAGCTGTGCCAGCGAGTGCACATCCAGGCGCCAATCTGCACCCTCCAGCTGTCCTGCCTGCGGGTCACGGGCCTTCCGCTACAGCACAGCAAAGGCACAGTTAAAAGGACAGTTATCTGGGGGATACCCAACCCAATATCTGGAGTTTTAAGGCTAAAAACTCCTTCCATCTTCCTGGATAAGGCTCATTTTTATCTGTGCTTCTGTTAAACCAACCCCATTCCCTCCAGCTCACAAACACTCAGTGCTGTCCTGTGCTAGCCTTGAGGCATGCCATAAGCAACTGCTAACAGAGCCATCCCTCCCTACAGAGCTTCCTGAATCACTCTGAGACTTACAGCAAGGCCTTGATCTGATCACTCAACAGGGCCTGCCAGTGCACAGCACCGTGAGTCTCCCGGCACCACAGAGACTACATTAACTCTTCTTAAACCACTTGCTGTTTTGGCCATCTAGGCTGCCCATGCTTTGAGTGGGGAGCTAGACCAGATAAGCACAAAGAGGTTCCTCCCAACTGATACTGTTCTGTGCTAATCCCCACTCTAGCAACAGCAAAAACTGTAACACATTTCTCAGATCTGTGCAGGAGTCACCAGCCAATGCTTTCAGCCCGAAGACAAAAAGGGAAAGCAAAGTGTTCCAGCTGCTGTAATCAGAACCACTTCCACTTCAGGGAAAGGGTGCTCTGGTCCTGGGGTACATCTGAAATGCCCCAGGAGCACAAAGAATTCTGCTTTCTTGCCCACAGGACAGAGGACAGACCCCAAATCACTCTGACAAGCAGTTTCCTTCTTACCCTGGCATCCTCCAGAGCAAGTTCATCAAAAGCAGCTGAATCCAAACGGATCCCTTTTTCCTCAAGCATCAAGTCAATCAAATCCAGAGGAAATCCCAAATTCCCATAGAGAGACCAGGCTACTTCAGCTGCAGGATGGAAAAGAGCACATGAACTCTGCGTGGTTATTGAAAGCAAAGGCATTTCCAGGTGTTCAGATGGGACCAATCTTGCGTATGCCCTGGTGACTGGGTCTACCTGAACTATGCACAATTACACTGGTAACGATGAAGAGAAAAGGAGCCACGCAGTCCCTCTCACATGGGATGGAGTACACCACACTCAAGGGTGCACCACAGCCCCATCCCTGCTAAAATCCAGTGCAGCACAGCAGGATAAGCATTTGCTCTGGCTGGATTTAAGGCTACTTCTTTCAGCTCTGTACTTACAAGGAGACAGTGAATCAGTAAATAAAGCTGTGAGGGATGTTTCTAGCTTTTTTGGTGCCTAGCTGGTTGTAAGAACAAAGTACTTTGAAACAATCACAATTAGAAGACTGGAGCAATGAATATCACTGAAAACATGTGGGGAAGGCAGACAGGCATCCACCAAGGTTTTACCTGTGATGCCTGTAAGAGCCTGAATCAAACCATCTTCAAGCACAGCCACACAGAAGGAGACGCACCTGGGAAATCCGTGGAGGGCTCCATGTGCTGCACCGTCCGCTCGATGACGCGCCTCCCACGCTCGAGGGAGGACAGAAAAGCGGCCTCGTTCTCGTTGATGATATCCGCAATCTCCGCAAGGAACAGGAGAGTTAGCCTTAACACCACAGAGAGCGCCTCAGCGCAGCCCTGACAGCGCCAGGCTACTTGCCAAGTCAGCTAAGTGAGTGTCTAACAGGTGCTGCGTCCATCTGAACCAGCCTTTTTGTTCTCTAGGTATCCACCACAACAGCCTTCTGATGAGTACGAGACAGTGCTAAACTCATTCTATCTTCTGTCACCCTATCACCCTTCCTGCTAAGACAATATTGACTACCTACTTGGGGGAAGCTGGATACTGGTTAAGGTGCCCTATCAGAAATTATTTCCTTTAATCCAATTAAAATTGCAAGACTAGAACTGCCAGAGAAATTGCTCATCAGAGTTGCTGTCAATAGAAGCAAGTATGGAGCAGCCTATAAATTACTTACTCTGACGAGCCCTAAACCTCCAGCCCACAGGGAACAAAGGACACCCACGCTGGGACAAGCTGCACTTCCATTCAGCAGAAGAGCTGTCCTAGTTTTGTCAGAACAACAGCTCTTACACCAGGATGAGAAGCCTCTGCAAGGATCTCATATAGCTCCCACATGGGGAAGTCTGCCCCAGGTACCTTGCAGTCCAGGCAGAGCTTGATACACACACATGCCCTGCACATCTCAGCCCACCCATGAGAACCCAGCACTGCAGCCCTCCCAAAGAGGGGCCCAATTCCACCTCCAACAGCAATGTCTAAGAAAGACAGTACGTAGGGGTTCTGTCCACACTGCTCACCTGGTCTGTGTTCTTCCTCAGCTCTGGGTAGGCATCTCCCTGTGGAGTTAGCCTCACAGTTAGTGATAACAACATCCACAGCAGCTTCCTCGGGGGATCTCAAAGCATGCCACGTACATTAGAGAGGTTTCTCAGGCAAGTGAGTATGCATTTTGAGCACCACTGTGAAGCCCCAGGGACAGCATTACAGGGGGAGAGAATTACATGTGGAATTACAGCTGCTGTCTCCTTGTGACCCTCCCTGCTAGCCCCTCTCTAACATCTCTGTGGTAACCACATCAGTTTACAGGGCAAGGAAGGAGTTTCTTTTTGGAGGCTGTTAGTAAGCAGATGGCTTTAATGAAATATGGCTGTGTGAAAAGCACTGCTTTTTGGAAAATAACAGCACACACATTTACACACATACTTGTGCTGCGTCATGCTATACCCTCTTCCTCCAATCACAGGAGGATTTTTTTTTTTCACTGTGGGAACACACATTCACGATAGACACTCTCCTGGAGGTCCTTCCCATCCAAGTTTGCCCCTTAACAGTGCACAGGAAATGCACATGGGCCTATGTCCTGTGTGATACTCTTCCTCCCCAAGGCAGCAGTTCTTACTCACCAGCACGTCCACTACAGTAGGCACCAGGGAGGCCAGGAGCCCAGGAGGGGCATGCAGGACTTCAGAGCAAAAGCGGACAGCCCTGCGCAGGATCCGACGCAGCACCAGCCTGAAAACAGGGCAGGATTCCCCAGAGAGCCACGTGAGCATCTCAGCCCCATTCCCACACCCAGTACACCCCACACGCAGCTCCTCTCTGGCCTGATCTATCCATATAGGCCAGCTGCATCCTACGCTTCACATTTACCTGGGGATGATAGCGCTGATCTCGAACGCCTCCAGGCCCTCTCCTTCCTGTCCCTGCACAGCTCACCCACTCGCTGCCTTTGACCCCCTCCTGTACGGCTGCTCATGTTCCCTTTCTTTTGTGGCCTGAACTGCCTCCCCCTCGCGCCGTTTCCACGCATCCTTACTCTGCTCCGGAGAGGCCCGGGTAGACGCCGTCAGCGATGCACACGCACAGGGTGCGCGCATGGTCTGCCACCACGCGGTACGCCGTGTCCACGCCGCTCGCGTCCGCCCTCCCCACCAGGCCCTGGTATCTGGGCCCCCCGCAGCCCTAGAGGAGAAAGCAGGGAGACAGATCAGCAGCAGTGAATGTGGCAGGAAAGCTGTGGTGTAGGACAGACAGCTACACTCTTTACTTCACACTTGTCTACTGCCTCTGAACCTACAATGTTAGGTGTAATCATAACATCTTTTGAGAACATTACAGACCAAGACTTGTGTGCCTAAGAAATGTCAACCAAAGCCCTAGCCCTGGGCTACAACAGTCCTGGGAGAAACACTGCTATCCCATTAGATTCCCAACCTTGAATTTGCCTCAGCTTCCCTAAAACATTGCTGTGGGCCTGGCTGGACATACTTGTCATCTTAAAATTCTGTACAGTAATGTATGTAGACAAGGCTGGATTATGGTACCAGTCAAGCAGTCTGTATTCATGGGGCTTTGATTTAGCTGAGACTCTGAGCAGGAGCATCATCACCTTGTGAATGGCATCCAGGATGGGAGTGAAGAGATCCGTGTCATAGTTGGAACGCTTGTTTTGCAGAACTGTCACCAGCCTTTCCAAGCCCATTCCTGTATCCACATGGTGCTGGGGCAAGGGAAGTAAATTCCCTTCCACCTCCCTGTTAGCATGTCAGGGAAAAAAAAAATAAAAGGCAAGTGAGAAGCAAGGGTCAGTCCAGGGCCAAAGAACAGGAGTGGGCAAGTGTCAGAGGATGGCAGAGTGACAAGGGGTGGAAACAGTGCTGGGGCAGGTGACCCAGAAGAAGGAATCCTAGAGACAGGACTAACAGCAGCCTGGAGTGTCACTGCTAGGTGGCCAGGCTCTGACCATCAGACAGTCAGGACATGCTGTAACGTATGGAAAAAGGCGTGCTCTGAACAAGGGTCTAAGCCCTTCTTCTAGAGGTTTTTCTGTGCTGCTGCAGATGTTGCAGACCTAACAGAACATCTGGGATGCAACAGGGAAAGAAAAGAGGCAGCTGAGATTGAAGGACAGGAGAAACGTGGCAAAGGGGGTCCATGGGCCACAGTGAACACATCTCTGCTGCTTCCCCTTTCACCTGTCCTGCCACCTCCTGGAATGCAGTGAGATTTTCGAGAAAATGAGGTTTGATGTCAGCAGAGAGAACGGCTCTGGGGCTGGGACGGGGTGCCTAGTACCTGTTATACTGCATGAAGACCAGGTTCCAGATCTCTACTACATCGGGGCTGCCCTGGTTCACCAGGGCTGCTGCGTTTCTGCCACCACCCACGTGGTCATAGTGGATCTCTGTGCAGGGACCACAGGGACCTGTGTCCCCCATCTCCCAGAAGTTGTCCTTCAATGAGAAAGGAAGCACGTGGCTGGCAGGCACCCTGGAAAGGCAAACAAAAGGGATGGTAGGGCTGGGCCATCCACACACAATACAGACTAGCCTAGATTACAGAAAAAGTTGGAGACAGGATCCTTTCTGACACACCATGATTTACTTGCTTTTTGTCCCAAGAATCCCATAGCACGGTTAAGCTGAACAAACCAGGCAGACTCAAGCTCACTGCTCAGCATGGCTGGCAAGCTCAATCCAGCTCCTGCTGATAGATGACCAGCTCTCTGTTGGGTCGATGGAGGTTATTCCAGCAGAGCTGGACACCAACATGGCATAGAACTAATAGCTTTTGGCCCAAGTTCACATACAGCCTGGAAAAAGCTCCCAAAGTACATCACACTTTTTGCGGGGGCACCATGACACAAAGAGAAGGATAGTGGGAGAAGCATCACTGCACATGGAACAGAGATCAGCATCTCGCTTCATCCAGGTCAGGCTGCGCTAGGTACACAGCCCCTCAGGCTGACGGCTCTCAGCATCAGCTTAGAGATGAAGAGCATCAGAGTGGTCAGAGCTCAGCTGAATCGTAGCCCCAATAAAGCAGACACCAAATGAGTTTAAGATCAATTTTTGGTGCCTGCATCTGAACTGAAGTGCAAATGAGAGACTCCAGAGACCAAAGCGCCAGTAACTGCTCTAATGTAACTTACCCCAGGCGGAGCCACACGTCCCTGCACTCCTCATCTGCGCTCAGCCCCAGCGAGGAGTCTCCGCCAAAGTAAGTGACGTACAGACGGTCCTTGGGGATCTTGTAGACCTCTGTCAAGAGCTCCCAGGCCATGCTGCATGCTTCCTTCTAAACAGACAAGGAACAAAGAGGAAGCACTGAAACCCAGGACATGAAAGGAGGCACGAAGGTTCGTTATGATTGAGTCAAATAGCAGAGAACCTAATTTCAGTTTTTCTATCTCTTTGCAATTTTAAGGCATATGCCAGAGAGTGTGATGAAGGTCAGGCCCCTGAGACAGTTCTTCAAATAGCTGTGGAAATCTATGACCTTCCTAAATCCTTGGGAAACCTTCAGACTCCTAGCATGGGCTACACCTACCTGTTTACCCGCAGAACCTTTTCTCATCCCTGTAAAATGGTCAACGCTGGTGCTTACACAGACAGTTCTGGTTTGTATATGAGTGGAGGCTTTGGAAACTTTGAGCGCTTTGTGGAAAATAAGCTCTCTGCAGGGAGCATTTAGTGGTTCAGTACACCAAGCCACTGCCTCCGCTTCGGGCCACAGAGCTTCCAGCAAGGAGTTCAGGGCTTTCCACGTCCTTGAGCAGACACCTCCACGGTGCTACAGCCCAGGGACGATGCTGAAAGGAAAAGCCTGGAGACGGCCGGTTCTTGTTGCCTCACCTTAAAGTAATCTCCAAAGGACCAGTTGCCCAGCATCTCGAAGAAGGTGTGATGGGAGGTGTCCCGGCCCACGTCCTCCAGGTCGTTGTGCTTCCCGCCAGCCCGCACGCACTTCTGGCAGTTCACCACGCGCCGGTGCTGCGCGAGCTCGCTCCGCGGGTGCACGGTGCCCAGGAAGACGGGCTTAAACTGCAAAGCAAGGCACAGAGACACCCCCTGTTCCCGGAGGGCACCCGGCGCGGCGCTCCTGAGAGGCGGGCGCGGAGCCGGGGCGCACCTGGTTCATGCCCGCGTTGACGAAGAGCAGGCGCGGGTCGCCGCGGGGCCGCACGGGCGCCGAGGGCAGGCGGCGGTGCCCGTGGCGCTGCTCGAAGAAGCGCAGGAAGGCGGCGCGCACG